TTGCTCAAGGACACTTTGATGGGGTCAGGAGGAACCAGGGCTCAAACCTGCAACCCTCTGGGTACCAAATGATAGCACTACTTCCTGCACCACCATCTTGGCATTATGCCCTGACCAAAAAAGTAATAAACATAAAAAAATAATTTCATGGGGCGGCAGTTCTGTGGGTTGGGCCCTTGAGCAAGGCCCTTAACCCCAATTGCTCCGCTTAAGTCAGGTGGCCAGGTCATGTGATGCAACACTTGATAAATCTCCTTCATAGGGCACTTATAAGTATAAGAACAGGTCAACAGGTTATACTACAGCAGGGGTCCCCAACTAATTTTCCCCGAGGGCTGAATTCCATCATTAACACAAAGCCGAGGGGTCCACCTGGGGTGGGGGGTCTGGATTCAATTGTATTTGGGTCTGGTCTGCAAAGTTGGTTCACGCTCACACTGCACTATAGGAAGGGGTGTGGAAAAAAAGATTTCTGTTCATAAATTTGCACTGTAATTTTGCAGCTGCTCTCAATGCACGACAAAAAACAAGACAGTGGCACACTTGTACGTTACACGTGTCTTGCGTCTCATCCGAAGGACGGCACCATATTTACTGCACAGTGTCCCTGTCACCGCACTGGGGCATCGGGATCCACACAGACCACAGGACAGACTAACCTGTTGGCCACACCGACACCAGATCCGTTTATTTACAGGTGATGAAGACTGTACAGGGGGAGGGTAGGTCTCAGATGCTCAGGGCAGTTCTGGGATCCTGGATGAATGCCAGGGTTTAGTGCTCACCGGTCATTTACCCACCCGGATAATGCACTGCTGAGGGCACAGCTCAGGATTCTATTTAATGAATTTGCGTGAGATACAACCAGGGAGGTTCAGGCATTGTTACCTCACACCTGCCGGCTGGCGGCTTGAATTCCCTCTTTCTGTGTCTGCTGAGTTTTCTATGTTCTCTCCTTGTCATGCAGGTTCATTCGTGCAGTCCAGAGACACACAGTTAGACCAATTTGCTGTTCTGTGTGTGTGTGTGTTTGGGGGGGGGGATCACGTATATATTTTATTTTTCTTATCAAATGTCCCCACAATATGATAAAAGCCTGTTATTTTGGTATGGTGAGGATCACCTTTTCAATCCACACAAGGGGTAACTCAATTAAAAAAAAAAATCAGTGATTGCAATCGAAAAACGAAAAATGCCAAAAGTCTTGTATTTTGTTTGGTTACTTATGGTTAAGGTTAGGGCTGGGTAGGGGTTAAGGTCGTCATGTTGGGATATGGGGTATGCCAATAAAAATAATGGAGAGTCCCCACAAAGATATAGATACCTAATTTGTGTGTATGTGTGTGTGCGAGCGGGTTTACCTATCCTTATGGGGACATAATGTCCCCATAACGTGATAAATATCCGTTTTTTTTCCCTTAAGGGGACCGGTTTCCTGGTCCCCATAAGGGAAAACTCTATTTTATAAAAATCAGTGACTGCTATGAAAAAACTAAAAATGCAAAAACTCTTGTATTTTGTTAGGTTACTTATGGTTATGGTTAGGGCAGGGTAGGGGTTAAGGTTGTCATAGTTAGCGTTAGCATTTTTCCCATTGAAATGAATGAGCGGTCCCCATAAGGATATGTTTACCCTACATGTGCGTGCGCGTGTGTGTGTGTGCATGCGTGTGTGTGTGTGTGTGCGTGTGCCCTACAATTGATTAGCATCTCACCCAGGGTTCACCTGTGCCTTGTGCTGGACAGAGTGGGTCAGGAATAGCCTGGATATCGGTCACTCGGTCATACTGATGCCCTGGGTGGTCCCGCACTCTAGGTGAGATTCTGCTGAGCCCCTCCACCCTCCCCCCACCAGAGCAGCAGAAAACAAACTTTGTCAATTAATTTATATTGAAAACATAACTGGTGTCACGGGATGCAGCCAGAGGTATTTCTTCAGATTTTTTTTCCTGCTCGCTCTTTTGTCTCCCCTAATGAAATGGCACCCTAAGCAATCATTTTTGCAAACATTTCTACAATTTAAGGGTAATATATTGACTTGTAATGCAAATCATTGTTTTTTAAACTTGCATGCCTTTGAAGGACAAGTTTAAATCTATTTACAGATTAAGACTAATGGATAGTAAATAGCCATGTAAGTATGTAATTTCCCAAGGCACTGCACATTAGTAGTGAGCATCTAAACCCCACAGTTGATGAAATTGTTACATGATATCAGTCACTGCCTGGTTTACACCACTGGGAACCAGTGAAGTATCCACACTGGGTGTTGAAGTCTCATTCCCCCGCCATTGCCACTGTTAAATATTATGGATGATGATATGAGGAATATTCTGGTATCTACACTGTACAGAAACATAAAATGAATGAGCACTGGATTCTGTAAACTAGTGCATTACAGTTTTTTTCAATCGCTAACAAGCGCTTACCCATACTTCAGATACTTTTTCTAAACTCTTAATACAGACTCACACCTACAAAACACAATTGGCCAAATGGATAATTTTCTTCTCAAAAATACATTTTGTTAAATATATACTAACTCTTCATTTCAAAATAGAACACATCTTTCTCTGCACACACTAACTTTACAAAAACACTATAAATCTGACTCAAAATGAAATTATTCTGTCAAAGAATAACACTTGTTTT